CTCCCGAGTCGTCACTCGACCAAGGATGTACCTTCGGTTTTCCTGATAAGGTTTCCCTTTCGAGTCGTCACTCGGCTAAGGATGTACCTTCGACTTTCCTGAAAAGGTTTCCCTCTTGAGTCGTCACTCGGCCAACGATGTACCTTTGGTTTTCCTGAAAAGGTTTCCCTCCTGATTCGTCACTTGGCCAAGGATGTACCTTCGATTTTCCTGATAAAGTTTCCCTCCCGAGTCGTCACTCGGACAAGGAAGTACCTTCGGCTTTCTTGAAAAGGTTTCCCTCTCGAGTCGTCACTCAGCCAAGGATGTACCTTCAGCTTTCCTGAAAAGGTTTCCCTCCGGAGTCGTCACTCGACCAAGGATGTACCTTGGGTTTTCCAAAAAAGGTTTCCCTCTCAAGTGGTCACTCGGCCAAGGATGTACCTTTGGTTTTCCTGAAAAGGTTTCCCTCCCGAGTCGTCACTCGGCCAAGGATGTACCTTCGATTTTCTTGATAAGGTTTCCCTTCCGAGTCGTCACTCGGCCAAAAATGTACCTTCAGCTTTCTTGAAAAGGTTTTTCTCCTGAGTTGTCACTCGGCCAAGGATGTACCTTTGGTTTTCCTGAAAAGGTTTCCCTCCCGAGTTGTCACTCGGCCAAGGATGTACCTTTAGTTTTCCTTAAAAGGTTTCATTCCTAAGTCGTCACTCGGCCAAGGATCTTCCTTCGATTTTCGTGAGAAAGTTTCCCTCCCGAGTCTTCACTCGGTCAAGGATGTACCTTCGATTTTCCTAAATAGGTTTCCCTCCTGAGTCATCACTCGACCAAGGATGTACCTTCGGCTTTCTTGAAAAGATTTCCCTCTCGAGTTGTCACTCGGCCAAGGATGTACATTCGGCTTTCCTTCCCTCCCAAGTCATCACTTAGCCAAGGATGTACCTTCAGCTTTCCTGAAAAGGTTTCCCTCCCGAGTCGTCACTCGGCCAAGGATGTACCTTTGGTTTTCTTGAAAAGGCTTATCTACTGAGTCGTCACTCAGTTCGGCGTTCGGTTACCATTAAAAGACTCTTTTGGCAGCCTAAACCCATTCAACACCCTCGGCAGCCTAAACCTGTTTGGCACCTTCGGCAGCCTAAACCTATTCGGCACTCCTTGGTAGCCTAAACCCATTTGGCACCTTCGGCAACCTGAACCTGTTTGACACCTTCGGTAGCCTAAAACCATTTAGCACCCTCGGCAGCCTAAACCTGTTCGACACCTTCGGTAACCTAAACCTGTTCGGCACCTTCGGCAGCCTAAACCCGTTTGACACTCCTTGGCAGCCTAAACCCATTCGGCACCTTCAATAGCCTGAACTCATTCGACACCCTCAGTAGCCTGAACCCGTTCGACACCCTCGGAAGCCTGAACCCGTTCGGCACCCTCGGCAGCCTAAACCCGTTTGACACCTTTGGTAGCCTGAACCTGTTTGACACCTTCGGTAGCCTGAACCCATTTGGCACCCTTGACAGCCTAAACCTATTTGGCACCCCATGGCAGCATAAACCCATTCGGCACCTTTTGCAGCCCGACCCGTTCGGCACCCTCGGCAATCTGAACTCGTTCGGCACCTTCGGTAGCCTAAACCCATTCGGCACCTTTGGCAGCCTAAACCTGTTCGGCCTTCAGATTACGGGAAGATTACGAGTGTACCTCCCAGACAAGTATCACATCAGCCATGTGAAAGGGCACATGACACACCCTCTCGGCCATCGAGATGGCCGAGACAAAAGGTGTTTTCCAAAGTACAGTAGTCTCAGGCATGTCGGCCATCGAGATGACCAGGATGCAAGGACTTCTACATCACATGGTTTAGCATAAACTCTTGGACGCGTCGACGGCCGAGATGGCCGAACCTACAAGGCCCCTTGCGCCCAAAACGTCGAAGTCCCGGCCATATTAGTAACCTAACTAGTTAGCCAAATAACATCTCAGCCCGGTCAGAGGTCAAGATCCGAAGACAGCTTTGTACAAGACGCCCATACTTAGGCGACCCTTTACCTCTCGGCTCGGCCAACATCCTAGACGACTAAATACTAACGATCACGATTAACAAGGACAATGATGGAGGCCCATGGGCCAAAGGCCCAACTACTAGGGCTATGGCCAAGAGGATGCATGAAGAATGGGTCAATGCTCAAGAGAAGCCCATAGTACTCTTTAGTTGGGCTTTAACTCAAGCCCAAGTAGAATAGGTTGTAGTATAGGTTTGGGCCTTTGGGCTTGTATTGTATTTTGGCCACCTAGATTAGGAATTTCATTTTAATTGCCATGTGAATTTAGGGTTAATTTAGGTTAGCATGTGCATTTCAATTTGCATGTAATTAGTATTCCATTTAGTAGGCATTTCGGCCATGTGCACACATGCACATGGTGTGACCGAAATGAATCCTAAATGAATACCAAATTACACGAAGATGTGAGGCGCACATGGTGGTGACCGGATTTGGCACCAAAATTTGAATTTAAACATTCAAATTTTGGCGCCTAAGGTTAGTTAAACCATGGTATGGTTTAACTTAACCTTGGGTTAAGCCAAACTTGCTCACTACACTTTCTTCCCTATAAATTCACCTTGGCCGGATTTGTAGTCACTTTTAGAAATTATATGAGAATTCATTCTTGCAAATTCTCTCCACCGAAAGTCACCTTCTATGAGCCTTTCTCCTTCTCTACTTGAGTTTCTCTCTTTGTAGAGCTAGGAACCTTTTCTTCTAATAGAAATTGGAAGATCACTCTCGGCTACATTTGCTTCTCTTCATTGTTTCTACTCCTTGCATCATTCACAAGGAACCGAAGATAAGTTTTTGAAGCATTCGTGGAGCTTTCTCACTTGAAGGTTCCATCAGACAAACACACGATTAAGGCATAATCAGTCATTTAGCACCATATTACCTAATTTGACAAATGTCAGAAAAAGCCCACCACGCTTAAGGCTCGTTACAACCAATATAAATAATTAAGTCACGTAAAATGAGGTATGTCACGGTTCATTAATTACTACCGATATTCGTGCTTGTCCTGACTTGAGCGTCGGGGTGTCTTTTGCAAGTACCCTCCCCCTCACCGGAATATTCGCTTGGAGCTCTTGTTCGGCCTTTAGAGTACGAGAAGATTACTAGTGTGCCCTTCAGACAGGTACACTATTGGGATACAAACAAGTCCCACATCAATAAAATATGATAAAAAATAACAACTTATATAACATAAACATAATTCAATGATCAATAGGCCTTTTGGGTGATAACCAAAAGCAAAACCGTGAGAGCTAAGGCCCAATTAGTTTTAATCTGATTCGTTAAATTAATCTAAAAGTTATATTTTAATCCTCTCATCTCTCACAATAAAATGTCCTCTCACCTAATATATATATAATATTTAAAAATGTACTTCTCCCAAAATCAATTTTACTTATAGCAAAATTAACTTAGCCAAACCCGCTATCTTTGAATTGAATTTGTTCACCACCACCGTGCTTTTGGACGGTAGCCAAACAAACTATAATCCCATTAAGGAGTTAAAGGGTTTGTTAGAAAGCACACAAAAAGTAAGACCTGCTATTAGTGTTGTTAAGGTTTTGCAACCCAGAGCAAGACAAAAGCTGAGCATTGTTAGTAAGATAGTGTGCTATTCTAATCGAAAGTTGTTACATTTCCAAACAAGTCCTTTTCACCTCTACTTATTGTCGGCCAAAAATGCCCAATTCATGAAATGAGGTCCTAATTCACTAGTGCTACCTCCATCAATTGCAAAGAGTATAGATCCCATGACCTTCATTCCCATAGTGCAAATATTTGAAGCTTATTACTTCTTTTTCTTTCTCATCGGTTTTTACTGTGTTCTTGACTTGTTTACAGTATACATGGGTTACATTACATGTCTGTAAACTGTAATAACGGGCCTTTATGTTCTAGTCACGATTATTATTATTATTACCTACAAAATAAGATGAATAAATGTAGTCTTTAAAACAAAATAGTATATTAGGTAATAACATTCACTTTGTTAAAAATGAAAACAACTTTTTAATCAATGTTAGAGAAACTTAAGTTTGGTAAATTGAATTCCAACTTAATTCAACATTACAAAATTACAAAATTAACTTAAAAGATTAAAATTATTTTTTGTTTATATATCTTGTTTTAACTTTATCACTAACGTATATGAGATCTTAGTAAAAAAATTCTTTTGAACAACATTTTTCTGATCTTAGAATTTGAATTCAAAATTAGAGAAATAAGTCCAATTTTACTTGATTAATAATCTGCTGATAAAAATGATGTGATTTAGATTTTACAAATATTTGTCAACCCATGATGAAATTGAAAATTTAAATATCCATGATTGGGTGGTTGGAAACTTGTAATCTCTGTGAAAAGATGAGGTTTTGTTGGGAAGGAGCAGCAAATTGGTGAGTTTAAGAGAGGAAAATTAAACCAGAATTGAATTGATGTCATGTTATGTATTGTGTTTGCATTTGCAGGGGAATGAGCTGGCCCAGCTGTGCCTGAAATGTCCTTGGGTACTATGCAACACACCTGGACAATAGCCACGTACGTACCTCCCTTTAAGACTCATCTGCAGGAGACACTGACTCTTGTGTGAATCAGTGACCTCAACGAATATATTCTTGCCTAATATTTTCAGACATTTTTATTACCCCCAACTAACACAACTCATTCATACAATATATTTTTAAACACTTGATTATTTTTTAATATATTTTAATATACAGTTAATGTAAAAAAGTAAATTATCTTTTTAAAACAACTATTACAAAATTAAAAAGAATTTCAATTTGTAATTAAATGGAAATGTAAATATCTTTGCATACTTATTTATTGATTTTAAAATATGAAAATAAATATTTCTTATTATTAGTCTATATAATCTCCTATTATCCTGTTAACCTCTCATTCATAAACTGGTTTCTTTTTCCCAAAACCTAATCTGTAGTTCCTCCACCTTTTCTTCTTTTTTATTGTTTTGTTTGTATTCTCCTCTCAAATCATTAGTGGTTGAGATTTTGGACCCTATGGTATTGCTGTATCCCTCTATCTCATGGCAACCCCATTTAAACATCAGATTTTGTCATCACTTCTCATTATAACCATCATCATCACCATTTCTACTGCATCATCATCATCATCACTCTCTTTCCCCCCAAACCATTAACCCCTTATTCCCTTGTTGTTTTCTTTTGTTTCTTTTCCCCTTCCAGGCCAACAATTCACCCTTAGAACAATGCTTTAAACTTGTCAAAACCCTAATCCCTTTCTCTCTCTGTGTCACACACACACACTCTTTCTCTCTCATCCTGTTATATCAGAGACAACAAACATGGACTTGACCCCCACCTTAGATGCTGATACTAAACCCACCCCCCCAATCCACCCCACCCCAAAGTCTCTAACTTTCACCAGCGTCACACTGAAGCGCCACCCCACCACCACCGTTGGTCCTCCACCGCCGCCGCCGCCGTCGTCCATGGTGGTTTCCTACAAAGAATGCCTCAAAAACCACGCCGCCACCATAGGTGGCCATGCACTCGACGGCTGCGGCGAGTTCATGCCTTCCTCCTCCACCAACCCCACCGACCCTCGCTCCCTCAAATGCGCCGCCTGCGGCTGCCACCGCAACTTCCACCGCCGCGAACCCCAAGAATCACACAACAACAACAACGTCAATAACAACCTTAACACCACAAACACCAACAACAACAACAACCTTAACTCCACAAACACCAACACCAACAACAACCCCACTTTTCTCAACTGCATCTACACCCCTTCAGCAGCACCACCCCACCGGGCCATGAGCCAAAGCACGAGCCCGAGCCTGAGTTCAAGCCCGAGCCACAGTCCGAGCCCGATGTCAAGCCCGTCACCGCCGCCACTCTCGCACGTGCCACCCTCCTACCACGCTTCGGCGCCCCACATGCTTTTAGCCCTCGGCAGCGCCTATTCTGCACCCTCTGATGAACACCACCGAAAAAGTCTCAATTTTTCGCCCGTTATGATGAAGAGCGAGAACCCCAAGAAGAGGTACAGAACCAAGTTCAGCAAGGAGCAGAAGGAGAAGATGCATAGCTTCTCTGAGAAACTCGGGTGGAGAATGCAGAAAGGGGATGATGGGTTGGTTCAGGAATTTTGCAATGACATTGGGGTCCCTAGAGGGGTCTTCAAGGTTTGGATGCACAACAACAAGAACACTCTTAGGAAGAAACCAGAAGGTGGAAATGCAAATGCAAATGCAAATGAAAATGAAAATGAAATTGCAAATGCTCCTCGTGATGGTAGCAATGCTAGTGGTGGTGGTGGATTTGATAGTGATATTAACAACCCCTACAACCCAAATAGCAGCAACAATGACATTCACATGAATGAAGAAGAAGATGGTTGTGTCAATGCTCATGTTTCTCTTAATGAGATGTCATCTTAATTTGTCAAGAAAAAGCTTAGTTAGATTGGAAGGTGGAAGTGGAAGCAATTTGGCCATGGACCATGATCATTTTTGTTTAATTATTACCATCTTTTTTTTCTTTTTTTTTTTTTTTTTTATTTTTACTTTTCGATCAGCTAAGACTATACGAAAATCCAGTTGTCTTAGTTTCTGTTAAAATGTCGCATTGTGTTTATTTATGTTCATAGACTCCGAAACTAGTGTCATTCCGAGACATGTTTCACCCTCTTTTGCTGATGGCTCTTTATTGCTGTCACGTTTTCTTCTTGATAAGTGCAGGTATATATTTTAAGTGATTTAACTGTGAAACGTTAATATTATTATTAATTGTTCATCTACTTTCTTTTAAATATCTACCTCCCAAATTGCCCATACTTGTCTGTCCAAACCTTTATCAATTCTGGGGTGAAACCTATCTGCAATTTTGTCCTTATTCATTTAATGGAGATCTCCTACTTGTACACGATTTTATTTTATCTCGGGAGAAACATTGCACGATCTCAAACTATAATCTTCCCATTAATTTCTTTTATGGTTTATCATATTTGGGTGTAAGTGGTCCTATAGGGAAGTTATCTCCCAAGGAAGAAAAGGATTATACCCATTAATTTCTTTTATGATTTATCATATTTGTGTTAGTGTAGCAGTAAGTGGTCCTAGGTAGGTTATCTCCGAAGAAAGAAAAGGATTAGACCCATTAATCACATTGAAAATGACATTAATACATTCTATATATTTGCTTTTTCTGGTCTCGTCTTCCGATATTGGACTTTTACAAGCACTTAGCATGGTGTAAAAAAGGAACAAGCATGATATAGATTAGTAGTAGCGTATACTATTTTGGAATATTGGAATATCAGAAGATGGCATTGAAAATGCGAAGTGTCTATTGTCGTATTTATCTATTATTATTATTATTATTAAACATTATTTCATTACCCTAATCTTTTGTTTGTCTATGCTTAGAAGGCAAGCTGCATGATTTGGTTATTTAAATTAATCAATGCAAAGTAATGCGGGCATTGCTGGTGTCTTAATCTGCCACCTTTCCATATTTGGTTAGTCCAATGAGGCGGCAAGTTTTGTTGTTACATTAAATATTTAAGTGAACAGTTTAAGGTGGAAGGAAGTTTTTATTTTAAGATTAGTGTAAAGTAAATCTATAGCTTTTGTGAGACCTAAGATATAAATGACCTATAAAACGAGGAATCCTTGTTTGTATTTGACTTAAAGTCTTTCCTAAAGAAGTTAAACTTGTACTTTCTCGTGTTGTTAACATGCAATGATAACCCATATTAAGATAATCAAAAGTGCCACTTGCTTAATTAATAATTGATGAATTCAGATGCAAGTTTGATCCGGATTAATTAAAAATATTGTGATTATGCTTTTTGAGCTGCCACGTTGTGTTTCTTTCCCTTCAAGTTTGTAGTTTTATAATAATATAATAATAATAATTGTTGGGACGGAAGTACCCTTGTAATGAGTTTTTCATAGAATAGGTATAAAAAGATCGCAGCTTTTACAGAGAATGGACCACGGAAGAATTAATGCCATTTTGGAAGCTTTGTTGATGCAGTAGTGGACTTTGCTTCTTCTGTGTTTTATTTTGCCTTGCTTTAAGATTTTTATATGGGACTAAATCTTTGATCTTGTTCTCATCCTTTGGTTGATGAATCAGGCCCACTTGATAAAGGAACACCACTATACTCAGCCCAAACAAAATGATATTAGCAGAACGGATCGCAATTTTTCTACCTGTTAAATAATCTATTAGTGGAAAAGATGTTTGCCAACAGCTATATTTTAAAATAAGAGTATAATTATCGTGTATTTCTATACTACTATTTGATAAATTATTCGAATTATAATTTTAAAATAACTATTACAAAAGTTAGTAATTTTATCATATTTTATAAAATTTATAATTAGATGATAATGTAAATATATATATATTTATACTATGACTACATTTTAATTAAGTTTTAAAAGAAGTAAAATGGTCATTTTCACACACTAACCGACGAATTCACATTGTCAGTTAAAAACTAATCTTCAAACTTGCCCCTTCACAATCAAATAATAACCAACACGACGCACACAATTAACGGAAGGATAAATATAATAGAAGAGAGATTTACTTACTTCAATTAATAATTTATATTTTATATTAATTTTTAATTATTTAATTATTAAATTAAAAAATTTTGTAAATTTTAAATATTTTAAAAATTATTTAATACTCTATTTTATTAATTCAAATTGATAGATAATTATAAAAATATTTTATACAACAATTTGAATTAATAAAATAGTATTAAATAATTTTTAAGTTTAAAAAAAAAATTGCAAACAGGATTAATGCATTTAGAAATTTTAATATTTAACGCAGAATATAAGTCATTGAGAGGTGTAAGTCTACTTAAACTTACTATATACAATAACTTTTTGTTTTATGTATTAAAAATTTTTAATTTAATGGTTAGATTGTTTAAATTTGATGTAGAGCAAAAATAAGTTTACTTAAACTTTCTCTAATCAATAACTCATATTCTTTATCAAATTTCAACGATTAAATTATTAAATTAAAAATTTTTAATGTATAAATCATCTGCAAAATTTTAAAAACTTGAAATCTATTTGATGTAAAGTATAAATTATTATGTGGAGTAAATCTCTCTCTTTATATATATATA